GATCAAGTCTTCTACATCATCAATGAACAGCCTCACCGACATCCGCCTCGTCCTGATTAAGATCGATGTCTTCTTGGCTTTTAAAGAGGAAGCGATGCAGATGTATTCCCCAGCTGTCATCAACAGAGGTGACAGAAATATTCACAAAGTGCCATCTTGTGTGGTTATTTAGTGTAGTGATTTTTAAAATAAAAAGCAGATTAAATTATTATTTTACTGAAAATACTTGCTTATTTGTTTGATCCACCTTCCAGTGTCATTTCAAGAACAACAACAGCAACAACAGTCTGCTCCTAGTGTGAGTGCATACCTCAGCAGTCTCCAAATCAGCTCCACAAGTCAGCAGTCTGTCTTCACGTTCCTGGGTCTTTCCATATCCGACATTGATGATGCCATGGAAAAGCTGAAGCATCAATATCAGACGCAGTGCTCCAGTAACACCTTCTCAAAGGAGGAACTGGAACTCCTCAACCAGGATGACATGATGGAGCTGAAGGAGCTGGTGGAGTCTGAAGGTCTATTCATGCAAACTGATCAGTCTGGCGCCCTAACAGTGAGTGGGCTAAAAGACGGGGTCACCCGGGTACTGCAGAAAATGAATCAGTGCCAGTACATGAACCTTGCTAGAGAGGTGAGAGTGAGGGAGGAGGAGGATGTTTACAACAAAGTAGTTTGGTGCATCCTGGCAAATCACGGTAACTGGGAAAGACTTCCCAAATCAGCTAATCACCAATTGGAAAAAAACGAATTAACAGAAGGAATAACAGATGCACAGGGACTTATATGGGAGGTTGATGTACAGGCAATGGTGGCCACACGACCACTGAGCAGACAGACGACAAAGCTGAAACGACTTGAGAATCTTCCAGGTGAGTAGATAGTTCTCAGAGATGTTACAAAAATGAGCCTGACTGATACTGGAGTTTGATGCTTGAGAGTAATATAAACTTCAATAAACAAATGTTAAGGTTTTGAAAGAAATAATTCTACTAAAAAAGTATTAAAAAATGTACTTGTAAAAATAGTTGCAAAAGTCACTATGAGGAATGACAGTAACAGTAAACAGTTTTGAAACAGGAAATGTCAAAATTTCAATATTA